TTTATGTTCATTGATCAACTTTATAAGTTAATGATCTAACGGTTTAAATTGCACGGTGGCAATTTGGTAATTATTAAAAAATCTCGTGGCGTTTATGAATGTTTAGATTGTCAGATTATAGATCTAATCCAAGGGTTGAGAATTGGTCTTACGGGTCTCACGAAAAATCATTGGTCTCACATGATCTCAAGTCTATTCAAAAACCTAGACGTAGATAAATAAAATCATATGAAATAGCAAATTATATATAGATTCTCATGATTCTTATAATTTTATGAGTTCTCATATATATATATATATATATATAAAATATTCTCTTCATTTCATATACCCAACCATGGTCATTTTAAGATAAAATAAAGATATTTTAACATATTTACAAAGTTATTGTTAGATGAATGAATACTTTTGTCAATAAATGAGGTTACATGGACGAATTTTGTTTAGCTGAGACGTTGTTTGGTAGTTGCTGAATGATTTGGTGCAAAATGATTAAGTGATCAGAATGATTAAGAGATTCTCATGATTATAATATAAAATGAAATATAATTGTTTGATAATTGTTTACAATGAAATTAGAGTGCTAAATGGTTAAGGGAAACTCAAGATGTAAAATCATTCAGATGATTTTAAAACCATTAAGAGACAAAAAAAAATTTGTTTAACAAAATTCACCTCTTAACGATTCAAAGATTGTCTCTTACTGAAACTTTTAAGAGGTAAGCAAACAACCCCTTACTTTTTATTTACTTTTTCAATTATATTGTCAACATGAGGTTCACAAAATGTAATCTATTTTGGTTCTTTTTAGTATCACATATACATTTTTTGAGGATAACCGAACCAGTTAAGTCATTGTTAGTTTATTATGTATTTTATAAATTACAATTACTATTAGTTAATGATGTTGGACGATTAGCGGCAGAGATCGAAGAGAAGATTACGCATTGTCTGGGTTTTATTTATTAGAAGTCTAGGGGGTGTATTTGCAATTTGCCTATGGATGAGGGTTTATTTTGAAATTATGGTGGTATAAAATCCCACAACCGCCTTATCGGGTTTCATCAAAAGTGTTGGTGCATGTGCTTGTCCTATTTGAGAGAGAATTCGGACAAAAATTCTAAGGGTTTTAAGTTTTCCTTTTTTGAACTTCGAGGTATGTTCATTGTCATCTCTTTCTTTGCTTGTTTTCAAGCTTAAGGCTTAGGGTCTGTTTATTAAACACTTACTTGGTAAATGATTATCGGATAAATTTTCTTATCGGATGAACATGAGACGGGCCAAGAATTTTACCGGGTAAGAGCGATAAAAATGATGGAGAGTCTTACCCGGTAAGTGAGGATGACGACTCTTACCCAGGTAAGCGCTTACCCAGTAAGTTGTTGCATTTGATATGTTTTGATGTACTAAAATATTACGCATCAAAATAAATCATAGTATTTACTCCTATCGATAAGCGCTTATCGGGTAAGCAATTGGATAAACGACCCTTAGTTTTTCATGGATAGAGAAATTGGTTGGTTTGAGAGTCTTTTAATATCAATGATCTTATTTTAATAACCTCTTTTGGTTTACCATATGATTTGGATTCTTCTATTCATCCTTGAATGCGTCCTCTAAATTATGACCCTTGGATCATAAAATCTTTGAGATGGATGGAGTTTATCCATTGATGTTGATATTTCTTTTAGTTGTTAATATTTAGGGGATTTTGATGGGTAATCTCTAGTTAGAAATTGGAAAGCATCTAAGCCATTTTAGTTAGAAATTTTGATGGGTAATCTTTAGGTGGTTAGCAAGGAACAATAGACCTTTATTAAGGGTCAACAAGTTCTGGATGGTCCTCTCGTTTTAAATGAGGTGGTTGCATGGTACAAGAAACATAAATGAGGTGGTTGCATGGTACAAGAAACATAAGAAGAATCTTATGGCTTTTAAGGTTGATTTTGAAAAAGAATATGATTCTTTGTGTTGGGATTATCTTGATCTTGTACTTGAAAAGACGGGATTTGGCAATAAATGGCAAGGGTGGATTGATGGATGCTTAATGAAATTGACGAGCCCGGTTTTGGTAAATGGTTCGCCAACAAAAGAATTTGATATCCAAAGGGGTTGAGACAAGGTAACCGACTTTCTCTTTTTCTTTTCATTTTGGCAATGGAAGGGTTTAATGCGACCATGAATGAAGCGACTGAGAAAGATTTGTTTTAGGGAGTCCGGGTTGGTAATGGTCAAAATCATCTTTCACCTTTTTATTTTTATATGGATGATGCTATCTTTCTTGGGCAGTGGCTGCTTCAAAATTCTAGGAATATTATCCGTATTCTTAGATGTTTTTTTTTTCTAGTATCTGAACTTAAAATTAATCTCCTCAAAAGCAAATTATTTAGATCCAACGAGGTAACATAAGTTGCTACTTTAGTAGGTTGTGCTCATTCAAAGTTTCCTTTTTGCTATTTAGGATTACGTGTTGGAGAAACTATGTCCAAGTCTCAAGGATGGAAGGTGGTGGTTGATAGGTTCTTTGCCAAATTGTGTCGAATTGGAAGGTTAAAACCTTGTAGGTGGGTGGGCGTCTTACCTTGCTTAAATCGGTGTTGGGGAGTCTGCCCACATATGATATGTCCTTGTTCAAGATACCATCTTTGGTTGTCAAATGTTGGAATCCATTCGAAATTGGTTCTTTGTGGGAGGTGAGATGGATGAATAAGATGTCTTGGGTTAAACGGGATAAAAGTATGGCTAGCAAAAAAGTTGGGGGTTTTGGTATAGGAAGTTTATTTGCACTTAATAGGGCCTTACTTTTTAAATGGGTGTGGAGATTTAAGTTGACCAAGAGGTGGTGTGGGTTAAAGTTATTCAATCAATACATGGTGCAAATGGTAGGATTGGATCGGTTTTGTCTTCTGTAGGTTCAAACTCAACATGGCTGGCGATTTTGAAGGCTTTTGTCTATTTACGGGTAAAAATATTGATCTTCTATCATTTTCGTAAAAAAAAAAGTAGATGGATCAGATACTTCCTTTTGGCATGATACTTGGTTTAGAAGTGGGCATTTGAAAATGGATTACCGGAGAGTGTATGCTTTGGAGCTTGATAAAGAGGTTACGGTCAAAGAGCAGGCAATGAAAGAGGATCGATTTGGTTATTTTCGAAGGCAAACGAGGGGGAGCAGAATTGGCACAATTTTCTGCCTTGAGGGATAGGGTACAGTCGATTGTGGTTTCCAATCAGAAAGGTTGGTGGGTGTGGTTGTTTTGGATGGATCAGATTCTTTTACAGTTGTCTCAACTAGCAATTACAGTGATTCCAGATTGTTGGTTGTAGACTCGATTGTTACTAGATGGAACCGGTTAGTTCCTATTAAGGTCAATGTTTTGGTTGGGCGTTTGGGTTTGAATAGGGTAGCCACTCAGGATAATTTGGATAGGAGAGGGATTGATGTTGGGTTAGTGTTTTGTCCTCTATGTGATGTAGGTTTGGAGTCAGAAGATCATTTGTTTTTTCTCGTGCTCTTTGGCAACGCAAATTTTGGAGACAAATTGGTAAATGGTGGCATTTGGATCTCCCGGTGTTTAGTTCCTATGCGCTTGGATTACATGGATTTCTGATATGCGGTTGAAGAGTGGGGAGAAACTGTGCTTTGAGGCAGTTATTCTCACTATACTTTGGTACATATGGTCGTTGTGGAATGTGACCATTTTTGGCAAGACCAAGCTAAAGCTAAAGAAGGCGGATATCTTTGAGAGGATTGTGACTCGAACATTATTTTGTGTTTCTAATATGAGTAGCAAGTTTAAGATTAATCGGGTGGGTTGGCTTCATAACCCTCTCCTTGCTATTTCCTATATGTAATTGTTTGTTCTAGCGTCTTGCTAGTTTTTCAATAAAATCTCTCTGCTGTTAAAAAAACGTTTAGAATGCCTATATAACTTTAAACTTTATAATTGTTTAAGTTTAATTCCAAATTTATTTCTATAGTTTGGCTTGTCATTTGTTGAGCAAACTTTAGGATTGTTTAAGTTAAAATTGTTAGTATACGCACACACACACAACACACACACACATATATATATATACACACATATATATATATATATATATATCTAGTTGTGGTTGTCATTTGTTGGGCAAATGTTAGAATTGTTTTAGTTGGAAACGTCTAATTTATAGTTGTTATACTGTCTAAATTGACTTACACTATGTTTTAAACCACAATATGACAATTCAACCAATCTCACCCAAGCAATACGGCGAGGATGCTTTGTCCTATCCCCTAGTTGATACCAATTTATGGGAGGAGGCGGTTGGGGGACCCAAGAAAGGTCGTGTATTTGAGTTTGGGTGCAACCAAGATTCTAATTGGGCAAAGTTTTTTCTAGCCGGCCAATCCGTCGCAAATCCGTTAGAAATTGTGTTTTCAGACAGATCTCCAGCGGATTTGTTTGCGGGAGAAAGTGTCCTGTTCTGTAATGGATGAAATATCAAGAGCGTAGTGAGGACCTATACACATCGTGTTCAAAGGCCAATCCTAACGTATCAAGGGAGATGATTTGGAGGAGCCTGGAGAGTGGAGGGGAAAGGGATAACATGCCCATGGTGGTATCTTACTCTAATAATACATGGTATGCATGTGCAAACAAGGCCCTGCATTAGATTTGAATAATATTTTCCAATGGAGATATGGTTGCACCAAGTTCATTCCTCTTTGCTCTGATTAGAACCCAGTATTTTTCAACGATGACTCCAGACTACCCGCAAATTAGTCGACTCACATAGCGGGTTAGATATCCAGGTTAATAAAAAAACAGCAATAACTGATTAAATCCTCCAATGAGAACCAAGCAACAGCAGCACCTCTCAAAGAAAAACCAAAGAGCTAGCTGCTACCTTGAGAAGAGCCCCATGTTTTATCTTATATTAAATATTTAAACAATTATTATGATTTAGACATATATATAATAATATTTATGAAAGTAAGTTTAATTCATGGTATAAGATTTTGAATCATATGATTCTGTATTGCTCAATAACTTATTCATTTGATGATAATCAAGAAACAAAATTAGAGAGGTAGCAACAACCCATATAAATAGGAACTGTTTGACATCCTTAATATAGAAATACTTTCGTCTTCAATTCTTCCCCTTAAAAATTTCTAAATTTAGAAAGAATAAGTGCAGCTTCCATCATCACTCCTAGCCGTTGGGTCGAAGTTCTCAGCACCAGGGTCCGTGCACCCTTCTGGAACGGGAACCTGCACCTGCTGCGCGGCTTTGCCTGCACCCGACAACATCCATCATCAACCCGAAGTTTACAACACTTTATATAGATATGTGGTTGGATTCACGTGAGACCACATTTTTACACTTGAAATTTCACATAATTTTTTTACACTAGAAGGTTATCTTCACAGTGTTTTGCTGTGAAGTTTCAAATATAAAAAAATGGTCACACGGGTCTCACGAAAACAGTACGGCAGATTCTAATATTACCGTAGAAAGATCCACTTTTAATGGCATCCCTGTTAGCATCCCCGAGCGCGGCAGAATCCAAATAGGTCTCGGCTAACTGCACTCTCTTCACATTCTCTTGTTCCTTAACCAACATGGTCCCGTACTCGAGGAGTTTGTCGATCGTTATCTCAGGTTGCTCGAATGTTGGTGGCCCTTCCTTCGAGTTCACAAGCTTCTTTCCAATGCCTTCCACTCCCACACCTCCAATCCACGTCCTCACTTCATCATCATACACTCTAGCCCTCAATGCTCCAAAGAAATCTGCATGATCAATTCAAACAAAACTAACAATCATATGCATGCGTAATTATGAAATATGGATTAATGATCAATTAAATGGATACATATATATACCTATGGATTGGCCTGGGAAAGTGTCGACTAACTTGGAAACTTGTTCAGGAGTGACACCGTCTGTTCGGAAGATACCGATGCAGACCCCGATACGGTCTTCTCTGGTTGGAGCCCAGTAGAATTTTTCCATACGACCGTCACGGATGAGGGGAGCGTAGAGGGTTGAGAAGTCGTTACCGGTGACGATGATCGGGACACGAGGGTTTTCTTCTTTGTTGTACATACCTGGGAGTTGGACGTTGGTGGGGTTATCGGCGATGTTCATGAGGGTGGCGTTCACCATCTGGTTGTTGACGGTGTATTGGGTGGTTCCACCCATTCTTCCTGCTCCGGCGTCAAGATCGTTGATGAAGAGGCAGCACATTTTCCCCTTTTTAATGATATCTGCAGCTTCTCGGTACCTTTGTCTGATCAACTTTGCTGGTTCTCCGGCGTTTCCACTTTCCAGTTCTCCGGCACTCATCATAATGGGCCTGAAATTATCGAAGAATGGTTTGGTACAAAATGATTAAGTGGTCAGAATGATTAAGAGGCTTTCATGATATAGTGAAAAATGAAATATAATTGTTTACAATGAAATCTGGACACTTAATGGTTAAAGGAGACTCATGATACAAAATCATTCAGAGGTTTTTAAAACTATTAAGAGGCAGCCTTTTTTTCGCCAAACAAGATTCACCTCTTAATGATTCAGATGTTGCCTCTTAATGGAACTATTAAGAGATAAACAAACAACCCCGATTTAAACCAAACAGTTTGACTTTTTCAAGTTAAACCAACTTCTTCTCATTTCTATTATTATAAACCAGAGGTGTACTCGTGCAAAGTCGTATCTCTTTGGTTAATAAGGTCCAAAAGGTTTATCGACCTTGGGGTGTGGATATATAATAGGCATATAGAAATTATTGTACGTTAAATAACATCAAAAGTGTTGGTTTCAGAAGACGAAATGTCTAATGTTTTTTCAGCCGGAGAACTAATTGGATTATTGCGAGCGGAACGAATGGGGCGCGCTTTCGAAGAAGTGATCTGTTACCGAGCCGTCTTATTGGGAATAACAAGAGCATCTATGAATACTCAAAGTTTCATATCTGAAGCGAGTTTTCAAGAAACTGTTCGATTTTTAGCAAAAGCGAGATACATCTTGATTTCAATATTTCATTTTATTCTTTATATCAGTCGATATTATAGTATGGTCTTATGTGATTTTGAAAAAACGATGATGTTTTTATATTTGAATAACATATAAATTTAAAAATATCATAAAAAATGACAAAAATATATCGATATTAGTATCAAATTAACTATTTAAAATTCCTATTTTTTATTATAATTTAATTTAGGTTCAATAATGAAGTAATTTATATTTGGTTTAATAATATAATTTTCTCATAAAGATAATAATTAATTATTTTATTAGAACTCGATAATTATCCTAATTACATTTTAAAATGAGATGTTTATCTTTTATTTGATTATGTTTATCTGTAGTTAGTTATACGAATTCAAACATGAAGTTTTAATAAATTATACTTATACATAATAACTTATAATTTTGAATTTTAAATAATATGTATCAATATACAATACTTTATATAAAAAAATTAAGAGTTTTTATGAAATACTTTATAATATAAAATAATTTCCGAGTGTTTTTCCCCCGAAGTACTCAATAGTGAAGTGTTGAATCCTCTGACACTTGACAGTACTTTTTGGGAGAAATGTAAAGAATGAAAAGATGACGACTTACGTGATTCCCATTTTGGCAAACACAAGCTCACATTGGAAAGATTTGCCCTGCCCTTTGCCTCCCCACACACCCAAAATCAAAGGAACCTGTAAATCAAAATCAAAATCAAATTGTAATTAACCAACAATCAGAAGCATCATAATTTATATCAATAGGAATTGATTAAACCTTGATGTTGGGCAAAGTCAAGAAGTTCTTGGTGATGTGAACAACTAGTTTGTCCATGAAAGCAGGCGCAATGTAGAATCCATCCTTCATGTTGTCCAAATTGTACCTGTTGTATGTAAACCATGTAATGAATTCACTCCAAAAATCTAAAATCCATCCATGAATTAAGAAGCCGATTCTTACGTGCGAAGACCAGTGCTGATGTATTCGTATGAACTCATGACGGCGAAATGGGTTCCCACGTCTTGGGGAGCTTGGAAGAGCGAATCGACCATACCCTTGCCTCGGGTGATGTCTTGTTGATCATCGGACATATCGTATGCAAGTCCCTTCCATCTGTCTTTTTCGGTTTGTTGGGATTCTTCTATCTCCTTCTCGGCTGCCAATACTTTGAAGGAGAAAGACTTGTTGTTGTTGTTGCTGCTCACTCTTGAGTTCACTATCTTCTTCAAGCTGCTGCCCAAGAAGGTGGAGCTTGGGACTGCAGCACTACCAGTGCTTCCATTAAAGCTCAACTGAATTCAAACAACAATGTAACGAAATGAGAAGATATAAGCAAATACCCACTTAGAACTCCATGAATTTACTAGTAATTTTCAAGAAATGAAGCCAATTAAAGGGAAATAAGATTGGGGATATCTTACTGGAACACGGTTGACAGCTCCAATGGTGGAGATGGCGGTTGCCATTGATCTGTGTGGAAGTGAAAGACGAGTTGCAGAATGATTATGAGGCAGGCAGCAAAGAGAGATGGAAGATGACTTATAGGGTTGAAATTAAGGTGGGAGAGGATCACCCTTTGAATTGTTGACGGCCACACAATCAAGATTACCCGCCATGCCACATGGCTTTCGATTATTGATTGTTGCTTTTGGATTGGGGTGCAGATGGGGTTTTGAGGTGAGCATTTAACCTTTCATCTTCACCACTTGTATGCTGGTTTGGGCTCTTGTTCACCACACACATCCCTTTTTGTTATCAATTAGTTTTTGTAACCTTTTGGTGGAAATTATTGAGGTTCCAAAATCACTTCTCTTTCATTTCTTGTTGGCATACAAAATGTTTACCCTAAAATAGACTTCAAAATATGCTACATTCAAATAACAATAAGTACAAACACTACTCCAAAGTTGGTTTTCGGAACACGACAATTTTTTTTTTAAAGTTCGGTAAAAACTTTAATATAGTGATTTACTTCTTATGTACTGTTAGATTACCAACTTCATCTTACGTAGTTATTGTTTTATAAGGATAAAAAAACTGAAGTTGGTCAAGTTTGTTTTAACAAGTTATTAGTTGTGTACCTGTGCAATGCGGCGGGAGCCGTGAATTTTAACGATTTTGAAGTTTCACTGGTTTTATTATAAAAGATTTAACATTGATATAAGTTACACTTGGTTTTTACATATTAATGCAATTTGAATAAATAAGAGTTATGATTCCAATTACAATCTATCGATGAAAAAAATTGTATGACAATTTAAAATCCAATATATTTAAAATCCAACATATTTAAACGACTCCACAAATGTGTTCGATTTACACCAAGAGCAAAGAATTAAGAGAGCGAGAGCGAGACCGAGAGTTCTAGAGCAACTGAATAGGAGATGCATGAAAGAATTTTTAATAACTCATGGTGAATATCAGTTTGAATCTCACCTTGGGGACGGGGAAAAGACATAGAGGTATGAGAGGATGAAGACATGAGTAAAAAGTGTCAAAATTATCTTGGAAACATGAAAAGAAAAAATAATAATGTGCATTGGTAACTTATACTATATGTTATTTTAATTGTATATTAAGATCTTTTAAGATTGAATGCATAAAGTAATAGTACTTAATGCATTATGAGTTGTTTTTAAGATTTTTAAGACTTTGTGCATAAATGTATGATACTTTATGCATTAAAAATTGTTTTTAAGATTTTCGATAAATCTGGTTTATAAGGTAGTATAGATATTAAATTTGTTAAAGAAAATGTAAAATAAATAGGATTACACCAAAAATGATATGTATCACGACTTTCTTTTTTGGAAAGAAGACAACATCTCTAACAAAAATAAACGGACAGAAGGTACACTTAATTAATGTGAGACTTCCACCCGAAAGCAAAATCATCTGGGGTATTGAGACAAGCCCCAATATCCATATGACGAGCACTAATCAAACACATATAGTTGGAGCAAACGCCGTACCACGTAAATAAGGGGTCGTTTACCTAAACACTTACCCGGTAAGCGCTTAACGGTAAAATTCAACGTTATCGCTTACTTACCTAGTAAAATTTTAGTCTACCAAAACGAAATCGTATGTAACAACTTACCCAATAAGCGCTAACCGTGGTAAGAGCTGTCGTTATCACTTACCGGGTAAGACTTTCGGTTCTTGCCTTCACTCTTACCGGGTAAGATTCTTGGTATTTGTCATATTCATCCAATGAGGTAATATGACTTGGTAAACGCTTACCCGAGTAAGCATTTGTTAAACGGCCCCTAAAATCCAAAGAGTATAGAGCAACGACATGAGTTTCGTAACAAAATTTGAGCATGGGTAACCGTTTGTAGTCCTCCCTTTACGCTACCACCAAACAAACTTATACAATTATTTTACCTAATTGATCATATTGGTTCAACAGGTGTAATTTTTCTTACAAGTAAATACCATCATGCCTATTTTATGAAGAATAGTAAAAGATTTTTGGCTTAAAATATATGTTGCTTCAGATATATAATCTCATATTACAACCACAAATAAAAGATGCATCAAACATAATCTTTTATATTAAATCTAAACTGTAAACTTAGCGGATGATAATTTCTTGAAACCAAAAAAAAGACAACATCATCCCCAGAAATGAAAATGAAAATGAAAATGGAAACTTATAAAGGCAATTCCAACATTATATTGATGATAATCCACTATGTCTCCAAATATCTCCACCCTCATTCTAAAAAATTCATCAAAGTATGCAAAATTGAACTGCTTTCAACATTCTTTTCGAATAATTCAAAATCAATTTCATTCATCATCTGCGCCACTAGCTGCCGCATTCAGAGCATTCAACTTCTCAATAAGCTTCTCCTTCTTCTCCTCATATGTTAGCTTCTTCAAGTTGAACCTAAACCCCCAAAAACAACATCAACACACATAATCATCTCTCTGTTTTTATAAACATAATCTTCTGCAAAATTATCTTTTCACCATCAGGACAGATTTTAAAAAATGAGGTTACCTCTTGTGTGCTCCTTTGGAGGCTATTTCTCCAACTTCTTTGGGGTTGGATCAGAACGAATGGCTGAATGCACCTTCTTGTACAGCTCTTCAATGTTTTCTGGGTCAACTCCAGCTTTAATGTATTCAGAGAAGCGAGACTGATACTTTTCCGGCTCATCTTCCATCAAAGTCTGCATATAAACCAACTATTTCAAAGGATATGTTCTATTTTCAAAGATGCACTACATCTCTTGTTAAACAACACCCACCCTCATGTAGAAAGCAACATGCCCGCCATAAATGTACTTGCGATGGACATGTTAACTTAGAAAAACACAAAGAAAACAACAAAACAAGCAGTAGTTAGGGACTGTTTTGATACAAACAAGCAGTTGTTTGCGGACTGTTTCTACAGCAAAACAAATTGTAGAAAATGTTAGACTGCAATGAGATGAGTAACGACATCGGACAATCAAGACTTACACGAGCTGAAGAACGATGTCGAGTATGCCATTCTGACCACTTCTGTAATAACTCCTCAAGCTTTCGTTTACTCTCTCTGATACACAAAGTTATCCAATTAGAGTTCACACATAAATTCTTTAACCACAATCCTCTTGACATGGAATCAACAGGATGAGAAACTGTCCATAAACACAAAAAAAAAACTTTGTTCATACATTTTTACTCCCTATGTTCCTATATAAATGTCCAGTTCACTTTGTTATAAATGTTAAATATAAGATGAAAATATACGAAGAAAAATACCCACAATCTGAAACTGATTCTCCAAAAAATCAAGATAAAAAGATCAAAAAGTGAGAGAACTTTACATAATTAGGAAGTGAAAACTGGACATCTAAATAGAAACAATAGGAAGCATTGAACAATAACGTTTTCCTTTATACCTTGTTAAAGAATTATAAATGACATGTACCAAAGCTTGTTGTTCATCAACAGTTATGCGGGGTCTCTTAATACCAGATACGGCTAGCATGTCGAGGGAAAACATATTAGGAAACTTACTAACATAGTGGGGTGCTCTCTGTCATCAACTGCTACAATAAAAGCTATGTTTGTTTCACTGTTATTGGAGATTTTAATGAATTACAAATATTGTTGTCAATAATCCGTCGATAAAAGTACATCGAAAATATGTTGAGGATAAGATCCCTAAGTAAGACGTAAATTAGTACCAGTGTTGCTTTTGCTGATCCATCGATGATTATAACTGTTGGTGATCCGGCGGTGATCATAACCATGGTGATAATCGTCAGTGACACCCAAGGAGGAGGCATGATTAAGAATCAAGGGAGCACCAAGTGTCACAACAATCCTTCCACATCGATATAACATCATTGGCAAAGTTGTAAAAGTTCATTCAACTTACCGAGGTTAAACGATCACAAGTACTAGTGATCAAACTGTTTTGAAAACAAGCAGCAAATCCAACCAGGATGTCCAAGAAATGTGCAAACATAATCTCCTCACCGCTTGCTAGTGGTTTAACCTCATTCTATGAATGCTTTTAACTTTTTTTTTCTGGCAACACATTATTTTAACCTCATTAAGTTGCCATACCAAATGCTGATCGGGTAAGATTTTACCAGGTCCTTACTATACCTTACCCGGTGAGGATTACAAAATTTACAAGGAATAAGAATCTTCCCCAGTAAAAAAGCAGGACAAAGATCGAAAATATTATTTGGTAAGTGAAACAAAAAAAGTTCCAAATGAAGCTTTGGAGAAAAACCAAAATCCATTGCAAATCTAAACAGCCCTAACCCATTTTCATGGTAAGAAAGAGGCTATACACTAAAAAGAACACAAAAGATAAAATTTAAAATAAGAACTAGAAGAAGGGGAAGGAAGATAAACAATCGTATGAGATATTCAAAACAAAAGAAGGAAAATACCTCAATTGGAATGAGTAGATGAGAGATGATCGAGCCCTAACCAGACTACAACATATTGAATCAATTTCCTTTTTCCAACTTTTGGAAACCCCAAAATATTGAAAACCCTTTCGCCCACTGCATATTCCAAGCGTTCTACCCAAGCAAAAACTCATATTCGATGATTTGCAGGCACTACAATTCAGTTTTGACCTAGATTCAATCAATCCAAACATGTTTTACACCTTACATAAGAATGGTTGAAGATAGAAGAATATAAAGCTAAAAAACAAGTTTTACAATTTACAACAGAATGGTTAAAGATCGAAGAATATAGAGTTGATAATCTTAACTTGAAATACTTACAATGATCCTAATAAAATCCCTTCGTGGCTTCGTCGATGAGGATTGAAGGTTGTGATGGCGATTAGGGGCAATGCTCTTTTGCCTCTTCATCATTAAGAATTGAACCAGGATTATGAAGAAAAAACAAGAGAGGGACTGGAGATTTACAGGAAACGGTACTTCGAGTTCGAGAGTTGGAATGGTTGAAAACATGAACAGTCTTCTTAAGAAATATGAACAGTCACCTGGGTATCACCGAAATCTGAACAAGAGTCTTGAGAATCCAAAAGGCTGGAAGCATGTTACTTGTACATCATGCTTGTTAATTTGTAAATAAGAGATTTTAAGATCTCATGCATGATAAAGTAGTACTTTATGCATTTTTGGTTGTTTTTAAGACTTTAAGACATTTAGTAAATTTGCTTAATAAAGTAGTATAGATTATAACATCAACATACAATTATTGATCTTGTATACATAGAAAGCTCATTAAGTACTCTATTATGATGATTCTAGTCAAGGTTCAAAATGGTATGTGGCGTGGTGTGGCGTAGCGGCGCGGTTAAGCCTCAAGCTTTACATGCCACGACGAAGACATGCCATTTTTTATGTCGTGACAAATTTGTAAGTCATATAGAATTTTATACACTAAGGATTGTTTGTAGCCTCCTTTCACCATGTATCTAGTAATAAGAGAGATCGTAGAAAGACAGAAACATCTACCTTCGTTAACTTTGCGTGCTACCACTCGTGCAAGAAAATGGCCTTCGCTTTTCTTGTTTTTTAAGGCCAGTTCTCAACAAAATTGGCTTTAAAAGATACCACAATTAAATAAGCATCTTAATAGACCATTTTATAAAATATAATTTAATAAACCAAAAGTAATCTAAAGACGTGTAGTAAATTTATAGGATGTTTTTGGACATCGTAACAAGGTTTTGTTACAATGTCCAAGCATCCTATAAATTTACTACAACTCTTTAGATATGATGCTTTGTTTTTTGGTTTTATAAATTACGGGAAACTTTTGTCATAAAAAGTCACATTAACTATTTTGTAGGACAATATTTGAAAAAAGTGTCCTGTAAAAAATTGGGTTTATATGTCACATTTATAAAATAGCTAATGCAACTCTTCGTATTGAAAGTGTCATACAAAACTTGTTAAGATGCCAAAAAAAGTCCTATAAACTTATTGGTCCTGAAATGTAATGACTTATTTGGAATGTATTTGTAGAAGGGGATAAAGACCGGGGGGAAAGGCCCTAGTCAAAGAACAATAATATTTGTTGACTAGTTTAAATTTTCTGTTTTTACCCCCATCTTACATGGTTTCCTTCCAGTCTCACATGGCCATATGCTTGCCTTCTCCAAGTCCCATCCAACGTGTCCCCACCCCATTAATTTTCTGGATCCGCCACTGCATATAAGCACATTAGATTTTCACTTTTAATTCCATATTTTGTTTTAAAACAAAGAATCCATCAATATATATATATATATATATATACTAGTTGTGTACCCACACAATGCGGCGGGGAGTCGTGATTTTTAACGTTTTTGAAGTTTCACTGGTTTTATTATACATATATTTAAAATCCAATATATTTAAAATCCAACATATTTAAACGACTCCACAAATGTGTTCAATTTACACCAAGAGCAAAGAATCAAGAGAGCGAGACAGAGAGTTCTAGAGAAATTAGATGAGAGATGAATGAGAGGACTTTTAATAACTCATGGTGAATATCAATTTGAATCTCACCTTGAGGGATGAGGAGAAGACATAGATGTATGAGAAGGTGAATACATGAGTGAAAGGTGTCAAAAGTATCTTGGGAACATGAAAAAAAAAGTAATAATGTGCATTGGTAAATTGTACTATATGTTATTTTAATGTAGATTAAGAGATTTTAATACTAAATGCATAAAATAGTAGTACTTAATGCATTATGAGTTGTTTTTAAGACTTGTAAGACTTTGTGCATAAATGTATAGTACTTTGTGCATTAAAAAATGTTTTTCAAACTTTTGAAAAATCTGGTTTATAAGATAGTATTAGTTGTCTACCCGCGCAATGCGGCGGAAACAATGAATGCAAATGATTTTGAAGCATGGTAGTTTTATATAGACTTTAAAAAATTTGGAAAAAAAGGATTTCAATTAGTCTATGTAACTTAATACTTTTTCAATAAATAAAAGTTATCGTTCCAATTACAACATCAATCAAAAATGTATGATAGTACAAATCGAATAAAACAAACTATAATCTAATTACAACATCAATCTAATATAATCTAATTATGTTAAAAGAGACAATAGACTCCAGAGAATAAAAACTATAAATTTTCATTAATCATAAGTTGTTTAAATAAGAACATTTACATAGAAAGAATGATAAGCATAGAAGAAGATTTACCCACAACCCAACTCAGAACAAAACCATATTTGACTCTATAACAATCCATAACACAAGATGTTCAACCTACATCCACGACCACATTTTGGATTCTATAATGAAGAACATCTTCATAATAGACCAAACTTTACATGGAAGACACGATCGGTCTAAAAAAACTGGATGCGTCTGCACTTGAAGAGAAATACAAACATTAGATCTCGCAGTTGCAGAAGAAGGAAGCAAGATTTGAAGGCTATTTATTTTCTTAAATAGTAAACAAATGATACAAATTCTTATATACAAAGTGATGGCTGTAATAGTAAATAAATCATACAAATTCTTATATACAAAGTGATGGTTGTAATAGTAAATAAATCATACAAATTCTTATATACAAAGTGATGGTTGTAACGGTAAATAAATCATACAAATTCCTATATACAAATATAATAGTCATAGTGATATTGATGGGATATTTGATGAAACAAGGTACGTCTATTCMTGGACCTCAATACTACAATTTTCAGATGGTTTATCAAAGATAACCAAAAGTTAATGCACCAAACAAATGGCAAAAAGACCAGGTTTAGGGATGGGAATGGACCCCGACCCGTCGGGTAACCCGGTCCACCCGCCCCGGTCGGGGACGGGGATTCCCCGAAAAATCGGGTCTCGGGGACGGGGACGAGGATCCCCGCTTGGCGCAAGCCGGGGACGGGGACGGGGACGGGTATAGCACTCCCCGCCCCGCCCCGTACCCGTTTTTTATATATATATTTTTTTTTATGAATTTGGGCTTTGGGCTTTGGGCTTTAGGCTTTGGGCTGTGAAATAAAAAAAGTAAATGCATCTTCTCCTTCCTCCAGTTCAGTCCATGAGTACGAATTCACAATTTCAATTTCCTAATCCTATTTCTTCCCGGTTCCGGCATCCTTCCTCCTCATTAATCATCTACCATTTTATACTACCACTTTGATAATGATTGTTATATATGTTCCTTGATTTGTGAAYTAATGTTTACCTTAACTAGAGTTTTACCACTTTGGTAGTAGGTTTCCATTAATCATCTACCATTTTATACTACCACGTTAATTGTTATATATGTTCCTTGATTTGGATC